TGCCTAATTGAGTTTGAGCTTTAATCGTTAGTGTCTTGCACTAACTGTGCGTTCTATGCCTTGTAGGAGTGATTCCGAGCTATATAGATGTTATGGAATGAATTCAAGTGATTTGGAGCTTTAAAGTTTGAGTAAAAGTTCAAGGACTTAAGCCGGGATCGTGTTTGGGGGTCAACGGATGATAGTTAGAGCGAACGAAGACTCCAGTAGGCATATTGCACACTGTCTAGTAAAATAGATATAACTTTTTTCTCAGAACTCCATTTTAGCTCCACAATATATGGTTGGAAAGCTAACTCAAAGGGATACAACTTTCATGTTTTACGTTTTTCTAAATTTAGAACGTAATAGGGTGAAAAATGCGCGAAGCTAGCGCGAAGTCGCGCTAGTTAAGGAGCTGGAGGCAGAATGTCAAGGAATATGCGCGAAGTCATGCGCGAAGGATGCGCGAGCTCGCGCTAGTCATCCGGGAAAAATGTCCTTTTTCACATTGGAGAAGGTATAATTGTTTGGGCCTAACCCTACTTGGTATATATACATGGAAAAACGGTATTTTGAAGGAGGAGGACGTTTTTGAGAGGAAAACACAAGCACAGAGCCGCCGTGGAGGCCGGGTTTCATCTTTTCTTCCACCAAACTTAGTAATTTTTATATTTCTTTGTATGATTTGTTGTTTTGCTACCATGTCTATGTGGAGCTAATCTTCACGTTCTAGGGTTGTGGTTCTTTCATGACTATTGTTATTCGGATATTGATTTTGATTTCTTAGTTTATCATATTGGTTTATTTATTCAATCCTGCACTTAATTATTTGATTGCTTGATCACCAATTAAATACAATCTACGAATCTAGAGTTGAACTCGAAAGTGGAAATTCTAGATTGCATATAGGATTGAGTAGAGCAAGTTCTTGAACCTGGGCCTCGGGGAACGGATTCGCGGTTAGGATAGACATATACCTAATTGCCTTGCTTGGTTGATTTACAGGAATTATAAATGCGTTCTTGTTGATTCTAATTCCATAGACATATAGGAGTTAGGTTAGCTTGAATAGGCGAGTAAGAACTCGACAGATTCTTATGAGCAATATTAACCCTGTCAACCAATAAACTAGATAAATTAGTTAGTTAATTCAATTGAAGAATACAATAGGAATGTTAGATAGCCCATACCCCTAGATCGTTTTTATTACATTGATATCATAAAAATCTGCTCTTTCTCTGTCCAAAGTTCATTATTTGTTTTTATTTATTTCAATTAGTTTAGAATCAAATACTTCTTGGTTTAATTCTTGTATAGATAATTAGGATAGTCTAATTTAATTTATAGTTAATCACAAGTCCTCGTGGGATCGACATCCGACTTTTAGTCACTTTATTACTTGACGACCGCGTATACTTGCGTGTGCGTTTGGCCGCAACAAGTTTTTGGCGCTGTTGCCGGTGACTTAGAAATTAACTAGTCTACTAGGTTAGATTTTTACTTTTTGTCTATTCAAGTTTCTTTTTATTTTTATCTTAGTTTAATATTTTATTATCTTCGTTGACATGGCTTCTTGGAATGAGAATTGGTCGAATATTGGTTATTCTTATTATGATGATCTTTGTCCATATTGTGGAGGACCTCACTGGTGGAAAAATTGTCAGAATGTTTCCGGGAGCGAGTTATGCGCACAATCTCAATCCTTTGAGTGGAATATTTGTCATATATGTGGTGGTCAAGATGACCATTGGGATGGTTGTCCTAATTTTTATTATCCTTCTCAGAGCTCTTATTATGATCTTTCTTATAATATTTGTGAGTTTGATAGGGGCAATGAAGTACAGGATATGGAACGTGATGCATATTTTAGGGATATTCTGAGGCAAGTAGCAGAGCAACATGATGAACTTAGAAAAGATATGAAAAGAATGAGGGCAGCAATCACAAGAATGAAGGCCAGTTGGGAAGAATTAAATGAAGAGAGCGAGCACCAACAAGAGGAAAATTTTAAAAAAGAGGAGATTTTGAGTCAAACTTGGCTGGTGGAACAAGCTGAAAGATTGGAAATATATGAGGCTCAACGTGAGAATATTACAGATGGGATACAAGACCTAATAGAAGGAAGAGCTAAACTGGGACATGAGATCGAAAAATTTGGCACTGCTATTCACGACTTGGATGTAGATATGAGTGCAAAGGTTGATGCATGCCCAACAATTTAGTGATAAGTTGTGTGAAGCTGAAAAAGATCTTCTAGACCAAATTGAGGAGCTAAAACGAGAATACCAATTATTAGACCAAAATATTATTAATGATGCCAAGGTTGATGAAGAGTGCAAAATTGAGGATGTCAAAAATAATACAATTTTGGAGTTAGAGCGTATTGGACCTCATTCTAAATATTTTTCAACATTGTGTTTGGTTGGTGACATGGGAATTGATACATTCGAGCATATAGAGGAGTCAATGGATGAGGAACAAAGTGTTTATATTCTGAAATTTGCGATGCCAAGGAGACAAAACGACATTCCTCACTTAAGGGCCAAGAAGTGCAAGATGCGATATCTATTGCTTGGTTCCTTTATTTTCACACCACCGCCTCATGAACGTGACAGAAAAATTGATGCAAAATTGGGGGCGCAATTTATATCCTCAAAGTGGAAGGAAAAGTGGTGAAAGTGATGACGTCGTGTCGCGACGTTAAATCAAGCGCTTGTTGGGAGGCAACCCAGCTTTACAGCTTTCTTTTATTTTTATTTATTTTTGTTTATTTTATTTTTCTATCTTTGTAGCGTTTTTTTGTAGGATAGTCTAATTTAGTTAATAGTTGATCATAAGTCCTCGTGAGTTCGACATCCGACTTTTAGTCACTTTATTACTTGACGACCGCGTATACTTGCGTGTGCGTTTGGCCGCAACATAGGAGCCCTTCTTGATTCCTCATCGTGCGGTTTGATTCCTTTGAGGCTTATGCCTTTGTTTCTTTCCTACTCAATCTTATGCGACGTGAAGCGCTTGCTATCAATCGAGAATTGAGAAATTATAATGGTACTACAGATGTGGTGCGGGATGTTCCTCCCTGCGTATTTGATTGGGCTATTGTCGTCGCCTTGCGGAAGGCCGTTTTCTCGTTTCAGCTCAGTGTCAGTATTTCCTAAGGTTTTGAGATTTGGCATTAATTGTTATGACGATTCGTCTGTTGCTATCGTGCAGCATTGGTATAATGGTAGGGTGTTTGTTTATGTGTTAAAGCAGTGAATGACTTGGAAGGATTTTTACTCAATGCAAGATTGAAGGTTCAGAAATTAAAAGAACTTTTAAGAGATAATGCCACGCATATACAGTAAATTGATGTTTAAATTGTTGTTCACAGCAGCTTAACTTAACAATAGATACTTAATGTCGACAGTTATAATGTTAAAAACTAATGTGCCCCACATGCTAAAAGACAAGAGTGTCTCTGTCGGACATAATGAGGAGTAATACAACTTGGCTAAATGAAGGAACTTGCATTATATGCGCATCTAACTACAAAGGTGTGGAGTTAAATTTTACAAATTTTGTCTTTATTATCACACTCCAAGATTGTTTGTTCACGCTGGCAGAAAAGATAGCATCGTTTATAAAATGAATGTAAACAACTTTTAGCTAACTTTATCAATGCAAGCACTTCTAATAAGAATTGCATCCCACCTACAATACCAAAATTAAAGTTAAACTATATTATAATTGTATTTTTTTTAAGTAGCAATCGTTATCCAATGAGGAAAAAATTGCTACTATATTTATCTTCTTGAGTAAATCATGTTTCGCTATCTAGACTTTAAGGCGATTATTTTTATTGAAATGATACTTTAAGGGGTATTTCTTGAAATAAATAACTTCAAAATAATATTTTAAAACTAAAAAGGGAAAGAAACCTTGATCCAAAACCTTGGAAATTTTAGTACTGTCAGAAAATAAGCAAAAATATAGGAAAAAGGGCCACACAGTACTCTTGCGATTCTCACGGCAAAAATATAGGGAAAAAGGGATTACTCACAGTGCTCTTACTCATATTTACCGGACAAAATAAACTAAAAACGGTTTATCCCATACTCCCTCCGGTCCAAAATAAGTGATTTTTTGGCCTTTTTCTTGTGGTCCAAAATAAGTGATTTTTCTAAATTTCAAGAATGAATCAATTATTTTTTCCTACATTGTCCTTGGAGTAAATAGTGTTGGAATATGTGTTACGAGTGTTTATGTGAGATAGTAAAGATTAATATGGTCAATTCTATTGCTAATTAATGCTAAAAGGTGGATTTCTTAATCTGTGTGAAAATATCCAAAAAATCACTTATTTTGGACCGGAGGGAGTACCGTTTAAGGTCCCACTAAATTCAGATAGAAAAATCCCACATTAAGGATAAAATTCAAGAATGAATACTTAGCACTCCACTAATTATTTATCAGAAAATTTATTTTGAGACTGATTAAATTTGAATTGTAAAGTCCCATATTGAGGATAAAAATCTTTTCATAAGAAAGATGACTCCATCCTCCCGTAACTTGTACCCGAAACTGTTAGTTAAGAATGAATGAATACTTATCAAAACTCATTCCCTTGAAAATTATAAGTATTGTGCATCAAGATAAATATTTTCTTTTATGCATATATTGTATATCCCTTGATTTTTCTACGAGTTTATTTCTTTATATCTTTTTAATAAAAATTCGGACTCCACACCACTTTTTCATATTCCCTCCGTTTCATATTAAATGAACTACTTTCCTTTTTTGTCTGTTCCAAAATAAATGACACATTTCTAAATTTGGAAATAATTCAACTTTAAACTCCTCATTTTAGCCATTTTATCCTTAATTATAACCACACAAAAGTCATGGCCCCACAAAACTTTACCCCTTAAGCTTTTAAGACCACAAATTTCAAAAGTCAGTTTTTTTTTTCTCATTTAATTTGAAAGGGAGGTATTAGTAATTAATTATTTACCAACGTGTAAAGTTCTTGAAGTAGCATGTCCAAGGCGACTCAGTTGACTTGGACTTTTCTTCTTGGTTTCCATCTTGTAGCTTAGTCTCCATTTTGGACAGAGAAAAGGCGCAAAAACTAAGTCTTTGAGCCGTCTCTCTGAATTCCCTCTGCTTTCTTAACGGATTCAATAGGGGTATATGTTCTTCAGTTATTTTCCTTTCTTATTCCCAAGTCAATAAAAAAAAATTCTCATTTCTCTGTTTTGTGAAACAAGTGAAAAAGACAAGTTGAATTTTCTTGGAATGCGGTAAAAAAGCTAAAGTTGATCAAGTGCAGTATTGCTATTGAGAATTTGGGTACTGTAGTTGCATAGTATTTAGATGGTGAAGAAAAAGAGAGCAAGTTGTTTGGATGTGAGACAAGCTATGGATTTCTTGAATCAGTTGTTAGCTGATAAACCAATTCTTCCATTTGTAATTCCAATATTTTTAGTTGTTTGGGGGATAGAGAAGTGGATTTTCTCTCTCACTAATTGGGTTCCTCTTGCCGTAGCTGTCTGGGCAGTTTTTCAGGTTAACACTTCTCTCTTATTTGCCTTCACTTGATTGGTTTAATTTGGGATGTGAATTTCTTCAGCTATATTGATCTTTAACAAATTCTTGGATCTATACGGAATGAAGTATTATATTTTCCTGGTGACATATTGCTTGATCTTTTTTTGTTTATTTTTCTTCAGATGTCATCTGTGTTTTTGTACTTTCATATCTCCACCGACAAGCAAACTTTTATTTTTTTTTGAGTTATTTCTAAATCAATGTGTAGAAGATCGTTATTTCCATGTTGCAGTAAGATTTTATCAAAATATCTGCTATTAAAATCCTCTTCAGTGTTGGTAATGTGATGGCTTTTTATTAGTTAATGTTATCAGCTTGGCAATATTCTGCTTAGTGTCTTTTTTCCAAGAATGTAAAAAGGTCAGCGCGGTGCTCTAAGCTCTCCGTATGCGCGGGTCCGGGGAAAGGCCGGACCACAAGGGTCTATTGTACGCAACCTTACCCTGCATTCTGCAAGAGGTTGTTTCCACGGCTCGAACCCATGATCTCCTGGTCACATGGCAGCAACTTTACTAGTTACGCCAAGACTCTCCTTCCTCTCCAAGAATGTGTGTCCTATTATAGTTTGAATAGAGACAAAGGTATATAAGGCTCTAATCAAGCACCAACTTTTCTATTTGCAGTATGGAAGTTACCAGCGCAAAATTCTTGCAGAAGACTTGAATAAGAAATGGATGCAAGTGTTGCTGGAGACATCAGTAATTTCATTGCCATTTTCTTTGCCACACTTTCCTGAATGAGTTAGGTTAATGCGTTACGCTTATTTTGCTCATTCTCTTTTCTTTTTGCCTTCTACAGCCAACAACCCCTTTGGAGCAGTGTGAGTGGCTGAATAAGCTATTAATTGAAATTTGGCCTACTTATATGAGCCCAAGGCTTTCTTTGAGGTTCTCTTCTATTGTTGAGGTAAATTACTTTGTTTTGTACCTATCTCTGTATGTGCAGGTGCTTGCATTTTGCTCAACAAGCAGTGGAATCTTAACTGATGCGTAGTTGAGTGTTGATGGAAAAAGTGGATAGGATAAATATAATGCATATGTGATGCTCCATGATGACACTGCTTTTCTTTTTGCACAGACTTAAGTTTCTGTTCTGTTATCTAAATATTTGCCTTTTCTTCTTTTAATTGTTATGACGCAGAGACGCATGAAACAACGAAAACCAAAGTTGATTGTGAGTTTTCTTGTCTTCCCTTCATATGACGATTGGTACTAGAAGTACTAAATGTTGCCTAAATTACAAGAACTGATAGCTCATTTGATCATGATTGTAGGAAAAGATTGAATTACTAGAATTTTCACTTGGTTCTAAACCTCCGCTCTTAGGGCTTCGTGGGATACGGTGGTCAACTTCCGGTGATCAGGTTTGGTTCTAACTTTCTTTTCTTTCCTTTTTCTTTTCCCTTTGTTTACAAAAAATGGATAAGATCTGTATTCTGACTATTACCTTTATGGGCAGCGAATTGTGCATCTTGGTTTTGACTGGGACACTACCGATATCAGTATCATGTTGCTTGCCAAGTTGGGAAAGCCATTAATGGGGACTGCTCGCATAGTTATTAACAGTATCCACATCAAGGGTGATGTACGTACATTTTTACCTTTTCAGCCTCTTGGAAATATATAAGTTCAGCTAAAAGAATGATAATTATGCAAGTACTTCATTTAGTTAATTTTTTGTGGGTATTTATCGTTCCATAAGCCTACAACTATACCATAAATATTTACCTTCTACACCTCGATTTAGGGCAGAAGTGGAGTAGCTTTGCTCAAACAGCTCTGCTTCAAAAGAATTTACTTAAGGGTCATATTTCATTCTTAAAGTTCTGCTGTTTCCTTTGCTACTAGAATTACTGCTGTGAATTAACAGTTCTTTACTTCAACTGTTACAGCTCCGCTTAGTGCCAGTTCTAGATGGAAGAGCATTTTTATACTCATTTGTGGCACCTCCGGAGGTTAGGATAGGCGTTGCATTTGGAAGTGGTGGAAGCCAATCTCTTCCAGCAACTGAGCTGCCAGGTGTTTCTGCATGGCTGGTATGCGACTGATTTATTACAATATGACATCTTGCTTCCCGAACCCCAACTGGGCAGTAAAGTTTCTAATCTTAACCACACATATCCCATTACAATCACTAAAGCTTATCGCTTCTACGTTATTGACCTTTCCCTCTATCCTCAGTTTACAGAAGTATTCTGATTCGTTACTAGTAAGTTAATTATTTTGCTTATTTTATTTCACAGGTTAAACTTGTTAATGACTCCTTATCTAAGAGGATGGTTGAACCTCGCCGTAATTGTTTTTCTTTGCCTGCGGTAAATTTATTCAAAAGGGCTGTCGCTGGTGTACTCTCAGTGACTGTGATGTCTGCCAGCAAATTGTCAAGAAGTAACCTGAGGAGTAGCCCTTCCAGGAAACAAAGCTCATCGACAGATGGTTATGTGGAAAATCTCCATGATTACAAGGATTTGCGGACATTTGTCGAGGTTGAACTTGAAGAATTAACCAGGAAAACAGATGTCAGACCAGGATCCTGCCCTAGATGGGACTCAAAGTTCAATATGACTCTACATGAGGATGCAGGAACAATTAGGTTCAATTTATTTGAATGTACTCCTGGCAGTGTGAAGTATGACTATCTGACAAGCTGTGAAATAAAGGTGAATCTATGTAAATTAATATGCTACAACCCATGCTTTATATATTAAAGTCTGTTCCATGACTTGTTTATGGGTATGTATCTCATGCAAGTTTGTTTAAGTATCCTATACAAGTGTGTCCAGTGTTTTGCTAATTTTTAGTGTACTCTGGAGGATCTACATGACTTACCCACACCCTTATCACACTCGTCGTACACGGGTATATTTGGGCAAATGAAGGTCCGTGTGACATAGTATCAAAATAATTTCAAGGTTGACTTGAATGTCATAGCATGACGGGTAAAAGTTGGGATGATAGTGCATCCAATTTAGGGACGTAGTTGTTGTTAGTCAATTCCAATTAAAGATCAGTGACATCTTTTTCTTGTTTCTATCTTCCAACATAAACTATGAATTAGCAGCAAGGAGTGAGCCTTACTGCATTAATTTTTCAGTTCGCTCATTTTACGGGCTGAAACATTTATTGGTTCTCTATCACTCTGTAGTGGCATTTGACACGTGATATGGCTTTATGAAACAGATGAGATATGTTGCAGATGATTCAACAATATTTTGGGCGGCGGGAGCTGTCTCCGCTGCTATAGCCAGGCGTGCTGAGTTTTGTGGTAAAGAAATTGAAATGACGGTTCCATTTGAGGGGATTAATTCAGGAGAGGTAGGAATCTAGTTTTAAACTATGGTATTTTATAAAATTGCAGCCCCCATAATTCTCCTTACACTATACTTTGGCTTCGTTTGAGCTTCCACATCTGCAAATTGTGTAGTTGATAATGATAATGCAAAAAACATAACACAGAACGGTATTATTCACAATCTTATCATCATAAACATGGTGCATTTCAATTTGTATCCTTTCGTGGTATCATAGATTCTTTTGGACCGTCAGAGGCAGGACACTTGTAGTAAAATATGGATTGTCTTATCCTGCTTACAGCTCTGAAAGTTCAAGTCAATGTCTAGTTAGAACGATTAAACTTCCTAAATGAGACAGGACTATTGAAAGTCAAAGAGAATATTATTAGTGCTGTGTCATATTTAAAGAATACCGAGAAATGGGAAACTTTCCTTGGCATAAAATTTTCGTATTTAATGTAGTCTATGATTTCCCAATTTCATGTAATGTACGTCCTCTTGTATTGTTCAACTTCAACTCGGTAAGTGTTTTTCCCCTCTTTTTATATGGTATTAGAACTTGATGATCTTGGAAGAGAATCAATTCTCAAAATTTGTAATTGACACAGTAGGATTAGGAACTTAGCATAGAATTTCCGTATTTTATTTAGTCTAAATTTTCCTTTTTCCATGTACCCTCTACTCCTACACGGAGCCGTCTTGCATGCGTTGTTCAAATCTAGTCAAGAAAAGTCCTTCCCCTTTATTTCTCTTTCCAGAAGGACCTTAACAAGTCGAGTTTCCCGTTCATTCTGTCTGTTTCTCTTCAACCAATAATAATACTTAGGTTATATGTACCACATAACTAGTTCTTTGTCCTGCTTCTAGCGAACAACTTCTCTTCACATGTGAGACTGGCTTATTAGGATATGCTCCACTGGAAGTAGAAGGATTGAAATGACAAAGAAAGTGATGTTCATTCTTTGTGTTTTTATTTGGTGTAGATACGGAGTTATGTAGTACTAATTTCTTTGTTTTAAATGATTGTTTCAGTTGACAGTGAAACTCATCTTGAAGGAATGGCAATTCGCTGATGGTTCAGATAGCTCGAACGGTTTACCTATCAGCTCTCAGCATTCACTCAATGGTACATCAAGTTTTCTACCTAGAACAGGAAGAAAAATCTCTGTGACAATAGTTGAAGGAAAGGACCTTCCATCAAAAGATAAATTTGGAAAGCCTGGTTCTGGCTGTTACGTAAAATTCCAGTACGGGAAGGTATGTCTCTTTTTTCCTCACAGAACTCGTCACTTGAAATATCATTTCTCCAAAACTAAATTCCTGTGTATGTGCTTGATTGATGCCTTTCATGAATTGTTTTAGATATGGAGTACTAAAGCTCTTTTAATAATACAATACAAGGGAGCTTGAGGGAATATGTAGTGATCCTTAAACTTTTTCTCAGGCTCTGAAGAAAACGAGAACTGTTTCACATACTTCAGATCCTACCTGGAATCAGAAGTTTGAATTTGATGAAATAAGTGGTGGTGAATATCTGAAGATAAAGTGCTTCATTGAGGAGATGTTTGGAGATGAGAACATTGGTAGTGCACGAGTAAGCTTAGAAGGACTTATAGAGGGGTCCCCGAGGGACGTGTGGATTCCTCTCGAGAAAGTGAATTCTGGAGAATTGCGGCTCCAGATAGAAGCAATCAGAGTTGATGACTATGAAGGATCCAAGGTATTCTCGATCATAGCTGTTATTGGTCATTTAGTAATTTAATGAGGAAATGATGAGAAAGAAGGCATTTCAGATTAATATGAGAAAAAAAAACCCCGAGAGTAAAAGGAAAACGATACACTTACATGCTCATGTTCTTGATTATGATGCCACTTTCCTTCTGACTGGTGTTTTTAGGGTTCAAATGGTAGTTCTTCCAATGGTTGGGTTGAAGTTGCTCTCATTGAGGCAAAAGACCTTGTTGCTGCTGATCTCCGAGGAACCAGTGATCCTTATGTGAGGGTACAATATGGCAATTTGAAGAGAAGAACTAAGGTTAGAATTTAGAGAGAATGCTTTTTGTCGTTTTCTTTTCACACTTCTATTATTTGCTGAAGGTTTTTTGTTTCATGCTGAAGCTAGTGTTGCAAACAAACTGTATCATCAAATATAGACCTTTTTGGAATTGTTGAAACTTATTCGGAAACCATTACTGCAAAATACTAGAGCTGCAAAGAGAATAGGAGAGTGGAAATGGCTATCTCTGGTCTATATTGAAAAATATGAATGTTTAACAGGATTTTTCTATCCATCCTGGATTCTTTGCAGGTTATGTACAAAACTTTGCATCCTCAATGGCACCAGACATTAGAATTTCCCGATGATGGGAGTCCCCTAGAGTTGCATGTTAAGGACCACAACCATTTACTGCCAACAGCAAGCATAGGTGATTGTGTTGTTGAGTACCAAAGGTTGCCTCCAAATCAAATGTTTGACAAGTGGATACCACTTCAAAATGTGAAGAAGGGAGAGATCCATATTCAAGTCACACGCAAAGTTCCTGATCTAGAAAAGAAAACAAGCGTAGATTCTGAGTCCTCAGTGACCAAAGCACGCCGCCAAATTTCTAACCAGGTAAGAGCAGGTCCCTACGTCATTACATTCAGTCGATTACTTGACACCAAATTCTTCAACACTTTGCTGACATATTTACTGTTGATGATGGATTCTATCAGATGAAGCAAATGATGATCAAGTTCCAGTCGTTTATAGAAGACGATGATCTCGAAGGACTTTCAGCATCGTTGCACGAAATGGAAAGCCTACACGACTCCCAAGAGGAGTTTATGGTCCAGCTTGAGACTGAACAAACACTTTTGCTCAACAAGATAAATGAACTTGGCCAGGAAATCATTAATTCATCACCTTCCTATGCTTTGGGTAGAAGACCTACTTTCCCTTGAAAAAACTGCAATCCCATTGTTTTCCTTTTTGTTAATATACAATATATGATTTTTCCACTAGATAGGTCATAGGGTCCATATCAATCTTGTTGAATTTTTCAAGCTGTAAAATTGATTATCGTGTATATTAACTGGAAGGGAAATACCTTCACACGCCTTCAAAATGAAACCAGTGGCTTCAGACATAGAACAGCAGGCTAACTTTTTGTAATTGTAATGCAGAAGCATAAATGTCAGTTCTCTGTTCTGGTTGATAAAAACGTTACGTTTGTATATATAAGGAGTCAGAATTGCATTTTTCTTCCACCATAAGGAGTCAGAATTACATTTTTCTTCCACCATATATTTCAATTCAGTGGATGCTCAGCTTGCTTTTTATTCTATATTCCAGAATTAGCCCAAGTTCTTCGAAAAAATATTCATAAATAAGCTTCTTTCAGAATCGAGCAGACTAGCCACTTTTCAGCCATCTAATTGAAATATAGCCACTATCATGGAGTTTTAAATTTTACCTAGGGGTGCTTATCGGGCGGATAATTAAGCTTAATGGTTCGGCTTATCGGTTATCAGATTACAAATGTAGTAATCCGCTAGCCATCCAGTAAGAAAACGGGCGGATTGGAATCGGATTGACAATTATCAGACGGTTATCGGGCGGTTTATCGGCTAAACCAAATAGAAAATTTTTGAACAATCAATACCAAACGGCCAAATGTATAGTTCAAGCTGTCTCTGTTAGTTGTAGTAGCTTTTCCTGATTAGAGGCTACAGTTAGACGACAGTTCTATTGAGAATTAGAAATTAGAGATTTAGCCATTTAGGTTTTAATAGTACTTTATATACATAGGGGTAAAAGTATAAATATAAAGATTCTTAACGGTTAACGTTTTACTCGATAAGAAAATTGAGTAATCCGCCCCCAAACCGTTAAGCCGTTAATTATAAAATCTCAACCCATTCACCATCCATTACTCCGATAATCCGAAGCCAATAAGCCATCGGCTCGATTTGGTTAATAGTTTCGGTTCGATTTTGAACATCCCTTATTTTACCAGTAGAACTCTATGACAATCATTGTTACAAAAATAACCAGTCAGATTCACTATTTACTTTTTCTAGCCGGTATACATAGATTATATATTGATTATACACAGTTATGCGCATATTATACATATATTATACATCTTCCAGCTATTTTTAGTTTAAGAAGTTATATGGAGGACTATTTGGTTAATTCTTCAAATTTTTGAAACTCCATAACAATAGCTATTTTTTCAATTACATGGCTGAAAAGTGGTTATTTGTGAATTTTATCCCATCTTAAACAGTCCACATTGAGTTTTCTGGGCCCAGTAATTGGGTTTATACTAGAGACTTTTTCCTTCCTATACCATATATAAAACCTTATTATCAAAAATGTGGATAGTTTTATATTTACCCGCCATGTTCACAGTTTTTCTACAATTATTATACCATTCATTAAATACTAATTACAATACCAAATATTAACTAGGACATTCCTTTTAGCTAAATCAGTTGGCTAATACTACCGGCGGAATTAGCTTTTTTACCCGTTTGCAATAAATTTCTGATCTTTAGTGGTTGAAACTTCATCTTCTATTATCACTTCTCCTAATATTTGCAGATCCACTTCGTCATGTAAAATTTGAAACAAACTGTTGGCTAATACTAGTGACGGGTTTCATTTATCTACGAAATCATTAGTAATTTGCCAGATCATTAATACAGAAAATTATCCAAATATCATATATATATCCGACTTCTCTCTACATCTCTTTCTATTTCTCAATCGCAAATTTCAGTAATACAAAGCAAATGAAAAGAGAGCAGCAATTCCACCATTGACAGCCATTAAAAAGTTTGAAAGCTTTGAATTCAAATTTGGGTTTTCAAAAATCATTATTTGTTTGGATTGGGTGTTGTTGAAAATAATCGGGAATATGGTTTGGAGTTTATATCTCAATTTTGAGGGGTTTTGGTGAAATTAGACTTGGTTTTGACTGAATTTCAGATTGAAACTCGAAGAAGAAGAAGAAGAAGAAGAAGAAGAAGAAGAAGAAGAAGAAGAAGAAGAAGAAGAAGAAGACATATTGCAGAAATTGTAGGTTATTTGTATTCTGATTGTAGATACTTTATTTTCTGTTTTCACAAATAAAAAACGGCTAAAACTTCTACAAATCTTCTGAAAAAACGCAATTATGTCAAAAATCTCAATTATGCTACAACTGAATGGGAATTGGGATATAAAAATTCAATGTACCCAGTTTGTAGATATTTTGTAGATAAATTGTAGATTATTTGTATTCTGATTGTAGATGCTTTGTTTTCTGTTTTCACAAATCAAAAACGACTAAAACTTCTACATATCTTCTGCAAAAAACGCAATTATGTCGAAAATTCCATTTATAAGATTGGACGAATCTTTATGATTTAAGAAGAACAAATATTGAAATAACACATGGAGTTAAGTTAAAGTTTGTGACAACTTGTACAATCTTCAATGCAAAAGAAGAGTGTCCAGCTAGTGGAAGCCTGAGAACAACAGATTTTGCATATCTGAATGAATTTAACTAAAACATCCTTCAACTCCAACCCGAAAGAATTGCCTTCTGGATATTCTACACAACTGAAACGTAAAACAATGCTCATTCTGGAAGTCGAGGAATCAATTTCTGAACTGATTTATCTTAATGCCCAGCATTACTCTGGCAGTGGATGAAGTTTATCTTAATTTAATAAGCAACATCATTTCCGTGTTAGCCCCAAAATTAAAATAAATTGGTAAAAACAGAGGCAAGTTAACACACAACGTTTAGCCCCAATTGTTGGTATTAATCTAGCCTCCTGGCGCAGAGTTCTTCGAGCAAACCAGATTTCACATTCATAAATGCACATTATCGATCTCGTCTTCTAGTACGAAATTCTGTCCTTCTTCCTCTTTGAAATTCCTCACCATATCTATAGCTGATGCATTTGGATCACCTAAATATTCATCCTCTTCATCGAACAACGAATGTGTCAAATCCGGATACTTATCATCATAATCATACTTTTTGCCGTTGCTCAATACTTTATGTTTAATAACAGTACATAAACGTGAGTGAGAGTGAGGGTTTGGGAGAGAGAAACGTGGGAGGGGTAGGATATACGGTACCTTGAATTAAGGAGGGATATACGGTGCATTAATTGTATCCTTAAAATACACTATGGTATAGAATTGATAATTTGATATACTAAATGTAATTATATCAAACCTTAAATATTGAGGTTAATAAGGTTTCCTATATGGTATAGGAATATAAAAATTCCTTTATACTTTGCGGGCCGATATGGCAGGACTTGGATCAAAGAGGAGAGAATCACTTGGGTCGGGTCATTATGATTCGGAGACTGACGTGTACATATGACTCCGCTAAAATATCCGAATAGATATCTTATCGTCAAGCTCTGCCAACTGAAGCCATTTTTTCCCACTACTATGAAGCTAATCGGAAGAAGAAGAAACTGAATTCATTGAAAATGGCCTTGTCGACGGCGAAATTCACAGAATTGCCACCACATTTGTTCTCCTCGTTTTCTCGTCCTTCTACTCGACCTGCATTCTCTCTTTTCCTTAAACCCTTCTCATCTCTTCGCCGCACCGGCGGCAACACCAGAACCAACTACAGGGAGCATCGGAAACCCTACAGAGATTCAAATTCCAGTTCTACCCCTGTGAATTCCAAGCCAAACAAATCTCACTCTTCTACTTGGCTAAATAAATGGCCCAACACATCTCCTCCAGTAGAACATTCGTCCAATTCTAGAACCTTCGATTCCAACACAGAAACTAAATATTTCGACGAGAACACTAGTAGAGTAGGGACCACCGCCATAGAGAGGATTGTACTCCGTTTGAGAAACTTAGGATTAGGCTCTGACGATGAAGATGAAAATGAAGAAGAGGAAAATTCGAATTTGAATTCTAGTTCGGCAGTGCCGAGTAACGGCGAAGAAGAGAAATTAGGGGATTTATTGAAGAGAGATTGGGTTCGACCGGATATGATATTGGGAGAGAGTGATGATGATGAAGGAGATGATACATTGTTGCCGTGGGAACGGAGTGTGGAGGATGGAGAGGTGGTGGTGGAGGAGCAGAGGGGAGGGAAGAGGAGGACAGTGAAGGCACCAACATTGGCTGAGCTAACAATTGAGGATGAGGAATTGAGGAGGCTGAGGAGAAATGGTATGACTTTGAGAGAAAGGGTTAGTGTACCTAAGGCTGGGATTACAGGAGCAGTGTTGGAGAAGATACACGATGCGTGGAGGAAGAATGAGCTGGTTAGGCTCAAGTTTCATGAGGTTTTGGCTCATGATATGAGGACTGGCCACGAGATTGTTGAGGTTGGTGCACTTGGCTTTACCCTCATAGCATTATGTTGACCCATTTTATGCAAAGTACTTTCCTTTTTTAGGTTGTTCAGACAAGAATCACACCTTTTTATATTTAGAAACAATTTAACTTTAAACTTTCCATTTTAACTTTAATGAGATGATTTATAACCACTCAAATGTCTGTGGCATGTTTAACCACAAGTTTAAAAGTCCGACATTCTTTCTTAAACTCTGCAACTAGTCAAACGCCGCCTGATAAAATGGGACAGGGGAGTATTTGTTACTATTTGTCTTTCTTTCTTTTGGCATGAGTTCATTTGACTCTTTAAATATTTCCAGAACTTGTGTCCAAAAGATTGCTTGCATATTTTGTTCTTCATATATTGTCCTAGTGCTGGCCAAGATTACATTCTATGGATCACTTATTAAACTAAAGCGCCAACCAGATTAGATAACACTTCTGAAGCAATAATAGGAATCATCATTACGATGAAGAAAGAGCTTTATTCATATGTCCATTACTTTTCAAAGTAATGACTGCCATTCTCCATAAAGATTCATAGATGTAGAGTTACTTGAGTTTGTTTGAAAATACAATTATTATCTTGCTAACAATTAAAAAAATACAATCATTATCTTGTTAAAGATAAATAGTACAATTTTCGAGCAATTATCCAGTAAATATTGCAAGCAATTATCGTCATTTGTAATTTACCTAAATATTGTATTGAAAAGGTGCAGTGGGCTAACTTCTTTTTTTCCCGGTTGTCAGCGTCGAACAGGAGGGCTTGTGATATGGAGGGCTGGGAGCGTTATGGTGGTGTATCGAGGAAGTAACTATGAGGGGCCTTCTTCGAGATCTCGATCCGTGAATGAGAACGGCAATGCTCTCTTTGTTCCTGATGTTTCCTCTGACAAATCTATTGCAAAAGACATCAAAAGCTCTAATCCAGTTATTGAAAATCGTAATCAAGTTCATCCTCATCGTGTCCAAAGCATGACTGAGGAGGAAGCAGAATTCAATAGGCTATTAGATGGTTTAGGCCCACGTTATGAGGATTGGTGGGGTACGGGGGTACTTCCTGTTGATGCCGATTTGCTCCCCCAGACAATTCCTGGCTATAAAACACCTTTCCGGCTTCTTCCTACTGGAATGAGATCACGCCTAACAAATGCAGAAATGACTAATTTACGGAAAATTGCTAAATCACTTCCTTGTCATTTTGCTCTCGGTAAATTTCAACCCTCTAACTACCGTTACTGTTTTTGTTTTTAGTGTGACAATATAGGTTATCTTCCTGTTGTCCATTTTAGGGAGAAATAGAAATCATCAAGGGCTGGCTGCTGCTATAATCAAGCTTTGGGAGAAAAGTTTAGTTGTTAAAATTGCAGTCAAACGTGGAATTCAGAATACAAACAACAAGCTGATGGCTGAGGAGTTAAAGGTGTGTTAGAATGTTTTGATATGATTTTGTCCCAAATAAAAAGAAATAGAAAAGAATGTCTTGATATGTTAGTTGCTTCTGTTTGTGACTTCTTTGATTCTTTGTGCATGAATTTGGAAGTACTATTTATCTTCGTCAGAGAGGATTCCAATTTCATGAAATTAGGTCCTAAGGCTGTTAGTCATATCACCCCAAGTTTCATGTTTACAAGTTAATACTTCTAGAGAAAGTACTGGCTCCCATCTGATTAAAAAAAGGAGAATCGGCTTCCACTTTGTGTTCTCCATTTCCTTTTCCATTCTGCAGACACCACTAATTTAGTTCTAGAAAAAAATAAGAAAAAGCTGATCCTGTTTATGTGAACCAGAAAAGTCGTCTGGAAGAGACGTTACAGAACTGAGACATCTTAGGTATAACTCCTGCGGACCTGCCACTTCTGAAGTTCCGTATTTAGCCCATCATGGCTTGATACTTGACTTGACTGTACAGATTTTTTCGCCCACAAAGCTCACGCTCCTTATCCTGTCTTATGTGATCTTGTGACACATCTTAAGCTTCACACTACAAAGTGTTTCAGTAATCACCAATGAGTTATGGGTGTGCCCTATTTTGGAATCACATATCAACTGATATCAATTACACAGTGATGTGATAATAGGAATATTGATACTTCTTAAAATTATTGCTTCTCTATAGTTGAAGTTCATATCAGATATAAAGCTTCATTTGTCCCTTTTTTTGCCGCAGACGTAGAGCTTTTACGAGAATTCTTGTATTGTATGGATGGAAAGACTGGTTTGTTCGTAAATTAGAGAAACTTTGTAAAAGAAAGGGGGGGGGGGGGGGTATATGTATTGTAGAATAGGGGTGTAAAAAGTACACCTCACTGAGCAGCACATAATACTTGTATGCCTTTGAAATTGGAGATCTGTTTAGTATTAGTGCTAACATTTCAGCTGTAACTCAGAAATTAACAGGGGGAGTCCTACTTCTGAGAAACAAATATTACATTATCTTTTATCGAGGAAAGGATTTCCTCCCACCTACTGTTGCGGCTGCTTTAGCAGAAAGGCAAGAGATAACAAAACAGATCCAAGATGTTGAAGAGAAAACGCGGAGCGGGCCTGCTGAAGCAGCACCGTTGGCCACAGATGCACAGGCTGTTGCTGGTACTTTAGCAGAATTTTATGAGGCTCAGGCTCGGTGGGGAAGAGAAATATCTGACGAAGAACGTGAGAAAATGTTAAAAGAAGCAGCTAGAGCTAAGATTGCTAGAGTAGTCAAGCGGCTTGAACATAAACTTGAGCTTGTAAGTATATCTTCTCACCGCTAATCTGAAAGCATATCTCTTGAATGATAGCGCTTCTAAAAGTTTCCTCACATTAGTTTTTTTTCATGATAACCCATTGCCTTTATTGCAGTTTATCTTATCATTCTGTTTGAAAATGGTTGTGTTTTTTTAAATCCGTCAGATTTCCTTTTTATTATTGAAGAAAAAAAATTTGGTGCAATCTAGGAGTGTGGTACTATCTAGCTATCGGAAAGTTTCAACTGGTGAGCTATAGAATTCTTTAGATTTGCTGTCTGTCATTCTTCACTATGCCCTCATATTTTATAGGCTTTTGTTTTTCCAAAAAGTTCTTTGCTTTTTAATATTTTTGGACTCTCTTGAGATTCATATTTTTCTTCATTCTTCTTTTCCCCTAAATGTTTTGCTCTTCTGAAAATGTCTTGCCAAATTTAATTTCTTTTAGTTATTTCCTTAATCTTGTTTCCACGTTATTTTTACCTAGCCTTGTCTCAATTTTCATTTTGCCATTCCTTTGTCTATTAAGTAGTCGTTTTTATGTGATGTGTGAACAGTCCCAGGCGAAGAAGCTTAAAGCAGAGAAAATTTTAGCTAAGATTGTGGACTCCTGGATTCCTGCTGGTCCTTCTGATGACCTGGAAACAATAACAGAGGAGGAAAGGGTCATGTACCGTAGAGTTGGATTAAGAATGAAGTCATACCTGCCTCTTGGTGAGTTTTCGTTGTTCTTGGACGTAACAAAAACTGTGGTCAATCTGTTGATTACATCCTGTTTTTAACTGAGAACTCATGTATATGCTTACCTACCAGGTATTCGTGGCGTCTTTGATGGTGTTATTGAGAACATGCATCTGCATTGGAAACACAGAGAACTTGTAAAGTTAATATCTAAGGAAAAGGAACTTGCTTTTGTTGAAGAAACAGCTAGACTTTTGGAATATGAAAGTGGTGGGATTCTAGTGGCAATAGATAGAGTGCCAAAAGGTTATGCTCTTATTTTCTACCGCGGGAAGAACTATAGGCGGCCAATCAGCCTCAGGCCAAGGAACCTTCTGACAAAAGCAAAAGCACTAAAACGTAGAGTGGCACTACAGCGTTACGAGGTTTTTCATCTTATACATGTCAGCTGTCCCATTAAACAATGATGTTATCTCACCTTTTACTGATAATCTGCTTGTTTCTGTCTTGTAGGCTCTCAGTCAGCATATGACCGAGCTGGAGACATCGATAGAGCAAACGAAAAGGCAAATTGTAAGACAAAATCTGAGCTTGGGTTATGCGTTCATGTAGTACAGTTTGCTAATATACCCTTTGTTACCATTTGTCATGTTACCATTCACTCTGCTTCCTCTTGATTTGGGCTCTTTAGTTATTGTGCCTATGTGTCAGATATGAACTTATAAATTCACGTATCTTTGATTACTTATAGTCCCAACTCCAACAGATGGTCCAATTCTTCATGCTTCATTTCTTGGTGTTTATTTTTTGATTTCCACATTGAGCTGCAAATTCTAACAGTTTGTTTGAAATAAATACTCCCTCCATTTCATATTAGATGAGGTAGTTTGACTCGGCACGGAGTTTAAGAAAAAAGAAGAAGACTTTTGAAACTTGTGGTCTTAAAAGCTTAAGGGGTAAAAGGTTTGTGGGGCCATGACATTTGTGTGGCTATAAAAGCTTCTCATTAAGGGTAAATGGGTAAAATGAAAGAGTTTAAAGTTGAATTATTTCCAAATTGAGAAATGTATCATTTGTTTTGGAACAGACTAAAAAGGAAAGTACCTCATTTAATATGAAACAGAGGGAGTACCTGATTTATAATTAAATGGTTTTCTTCATATAAAAAAATCCCCCATTCCGTAAACATTTCAGGAGGCTTCTGACTACAACTCTATTAGCTTTTCAAAAAGATTAACGGATCCATTCTTATAGTTATAGGTGCATAATCCTCCTTGTGTGTTTCTACTATCCACCATACAAACATTGCCAAACTAAACTTAAAGTGGGATCAGAGTGTTTTACATTAGTCATATTTCAAAGGCCAATGATCATGCATAGCAGGAAGATATTCTTAAAACCATATTCTATATTCCAACATTAATAATTCGTATAAATTACCATGTAGTAGTTTTTGCAGAGAAATATAGTTCTAAATATTATAAGATAAAACAAATGTTCCCAAATTAAGATTGCCATCTCTTAGAAGACCAAATCCTAATGTGCGGAAGTTGACTAAACTTAGATGGAGTTAAAAATTTCAGTTCAGAATCTTTTAGAGATGCAACAAAGAAGTCTAAGTCTGATCTTTGTAAACCACAATTCCTAAAGAAGATCACATCTGAGGGATTTTCATTCATCATCGTCTTGATAACATCATAACACCCAATTTTATATACTAACTGGATCTTTTCATAGCATTGGTTACATATCTCTGGAATTCAAACTGTAGGCAAGTCTGAATTCATCTTCTCCCAGTTTTACTTTGTCATCAGTGGGATATTGATTACCTTATTAAGAAAAAGATCACTGAAATATTTCATATCTGTTAAGTACCAGCGGGACTAGTTAATGTTCGTCAAGAGAGGCTCTTGAAGGTGCGAAAAATAGTCTCTGGAAAAACTGAGGTTGCTTTGTGAATTAAATTTGCTTTTTGTGTAACATATTTGCAGCTACACTGTGTTCACCCGTATTTTTGAAGTTCAAAGTGTGTATTTCAAGTTTTCAACTATCTATACATTTTAGATAACTGATCTTCTTCTTGTATGTCCACAGGGTGATGTTGGTAATGCAGACATCAATAATAGCAACTTGGAGGCACTTGATCAGTTCAATCATGCCTCAGAATTTTCCCAAGTGAGTTTACAACGATTTCTCTGGCTGTCTAGGAAAAATCTTGGAAGTTTCTTATATGATAGTCAAGAACTGTCTTTAACTGACCACTTTGCGGGGCTTCGTCTTGTCCTAACTGTTAATAGTTCCTTGAAGTGAAGGGAGTGACGGGGTCCTCCCTCAGGGGAGGAATGGTGAACTTTTTTATTTCAGGATTTAGGATCAAAATAACGAAATACTTGCCAGAAGAAAAGATCAAATTATAATGATTGTGAAAATATTCATATTAACTTGCTTTTTATTATGTGTGCAGAGTGAAGATGAAACTTCATCGCTGGAGTCTGATGGTGACGAGGATGAAGATCCTGAATGGGAAAATGATGACGATTCAGAATACTCCAGTCTCGAGGACAATGAGACAGGATAACATTTCATGGCTAATTCTTTATGAGGAACTGCGTTATCATGGCCATAGTCCTATTGAGGTAATCGTACCGTCTTATGCCTTCATTATTAAAACTATGCTTAAAAGCTCTTATTCTTAGAACAATAAATACTTATTCAATATGACTTTATAAAACCTGTATATTATTCTACCGAATGTAAAAGGAAAAAGAAATGGTAGGAAGCGAAGTGATTGGAACTAGTTTGCTAGGGCACTTCTCACCGGGAAAAGTGTAATGGTTCAACAAACTTGAAAGAACAAGGAAACTATTTTTCGCAATCAATTCTAGATGCCGCTAGCAACACGAAATGTCTCAACTACTTGTTTGTATTTAAAACTTCATAATGCCCGTCATAACATTCTTATTGCTCTTTAGAATTGGTTCAAGCGTTGAATAAACTAGAATTGGTTCAAGCATTGAATAAACTACATGGTTTTACTATTCGAAATGAATATACTGGTCAAATTTTTTCCAAAGAAGCCTAGTATGTGCAAACTACTTAGTTTAAGTTTTTGCGATACGCACTTAAAGTTCACTACACTTTTTAACCAATGGTATGCTAACAGTAGCATTAACTTCCAGTACCTACTTTTGTATTTGCAGATACACTGCAAATGACAAAGAAACACATTAACTAAAAGTGATAAGAACTACTGCTGGGTGCTACAACTCCCAACTACAACAACTGTATGTTCTTATTGACCAAGTATGATACTGTATCTTTCAGCCACAACAATCATCTTTCTGAGGTTTTGGATCATAATCTGAGGTTAATAAATCTCCCAAGTATTTGCTTATGGCCATTGATGGAGCCTTTGGATCACTGGTCGATTCAAAATTTGGAAGGGCGTCTCACTTGCAATTCATCCAAGCTCAACTGGCCCGAATTGTACATTGGCGGATTAGCTGGAGGTCTTGTCTGCTGGTGCCAGACTTTACTATCAACTCATAGCTTTGGACCTTTGGTGAACATTGTAATGAGTGTAGATGTAATTGCTTTGTCAATCATTCTTTTTGGTTCTTCCAGTTTTTGTAATTTCTTTGCTGAATCATAGAGAAAACGATGAGAAGGATGCATCACATATCAAGGAAAAAAAAGAAGAGGAAAACTGAAAAAATAACAAGAATAAGGGTGTGTTTGGTATGAAGGAAAATGTTTTCCATGGAAATATTTTCCTTGTAAATATTTTCATGGAAAATGAGTGGTTTTATATTTATTTTCCCTTGTTTGATTAGTGAGTGAAAAAAAAATTTCGGAAAATATTTTTTAGTGTTTGGTTAAAAAGTAGAAATATATTTTTTTAGGAAAATATATTTTTATGCTACTCTACTCACCTCCTCCCCTCAAGTCCACATGTTTCCTCTAAGGATACAGTGAAATTTAACCACGTCAAACATTATTAGCCTGTTTGGTCAAGCTTCTCCAAGCCAAAAGCACTTTTTTTTTTTGAAGTTGAAGTGTTTGACCAAGTTTTTAGAGGGAAAAAAAGTGCTTTTGTAGAAGCAGAAAAAAGTAGCTTCTCCCTAAAAATACTTTTTTGAAAAGCACTTTTGAGAAAAATACATTTAGAAGTAGTTCTTAAAAGCTTGGCCAAACACTAATTGCTGCTCAGAAGTGCTTTTATTAGTCAAATACAAACTGTTTCTCACCAAAACAACAACAACAACAACCCAGTAAAATCCCACTAGTGGGGTCTGGGGAGGATAGTGTGTACGCAGACCATACCCTATCCCGAGGAGTAGAGAAGTTGTTTCCGAAAGACCCTCAGTTCAAGAAGATGAAAAGAGACAATATTAGTACCACCAACAGATACCATAAGAAAAAATAACAACATCATGAAAACCAGAAAATAGGTGCAAAGCAAAAGCACTAGCCAGTAAATAGACTCGGCCCTATGAAAAAAAAAGAGTAGTAAGACACGACATTGCCACTAGCTGTCTTAGACAAAAACCCTATCAAGCTAGCCTCACAAAGGTATGAACTAAGGAAAGATTCAACTACCTCCTAACCTACAACCCTAATCCTCAACCGCCACAGCTTCCTATCAAGGGCCATGTCCTCGGAAATTTGAAGCCTAGCCATGTCCTGCCTGATCACCTCTCCCCAATACTTCTTAGGCCGCCCTCCACCTCTTCTCGTGCCCTCCAAAGCCGGCTCACACCTCCTTACCGAAGCATCTGGGCTTCTTCTCTGAACGTGCTCGAACCATTTGAGCCTTGCTTCCCGTGTCTTGTTATCAATGGGAGCCACGCCCACCTTCTCCCGAATATCATCATTCCTAATCTTATCCATCCTAGTGAGCCCGCACATCCACCTCAACATCCTCATCGCTGCTACTTTCATCTTCTGGATATGTGAGTTCTTAATAGGCCAACACTCAACCCCATACATCATGGCCGGTCTAACCACCGCTTTAAAAAACTTACCTTTGAGTATCCGTGGCACTCTCTTGTCACAAAGGACTCCAGATGCTAACCTCCACTTCATCTACCCCACTCCAATACGTTATGTGACATCCTCGTCGATCTCCGCTCCCCCTTGGATAACCGATCCAAGGTACTTAAAACTGCCTCTACTTGGGATGACCTGTGATTCAAGCCTCACATCCACGTCCACTTCCCTCGACTCAGCGCTGAACTTACACTCCAGGTATTCCGTCTTCGTTTTGCTCAGCTTGAAACCCTTAGACTCAAGAGCCTGTCTCCAAACCTCCAGCCTCTCGTTAACACCGGCTCGCGACTCATCAATCAGAACTATGTCATCGCCAAATAACATACACATGACACCTCCCCTTGAATATGGTGTGTTAACGCGTCCATCACCAGGGCAAATAAGAACGGGCTGAGAGCAGAACCTTGGTGCAACCCCATAACAACCGGAAAATGCTCAAAGTCGCCTCCTACTGTCCTAACCCGAGTCTTAGCCCCATCATACATGTCCTTAATCGCCCTAATGTAGGCAATCGGCACACATTTAGCCTCCAAGCATCTCCAGAGAACTTCTCTAGGAACCTTGTCATACGCTCTCTACAGATCAATAAACACCATGTGCAGATCCTTCTTCCTCTCCTTGTACTGTTCCACCAGTCTCCTAATAAGGTGTATAGTCCGTAGTAGAACGGCCCGGCATGAACCCAAACTGGTTGTCGGCTATAGACACCGTCCTCCTCACCCTCGCTTCAACCACCCTCTCCCAAACTTTCATGGTATGACTCAGTACCTCACCCTGCTTCTCACCAAAAGTACTTTTGAAAAAAACTTTTGACAAAAAACACTTTTCAAAATAAGTTGATATTTGCAGCTTGGTCAAACAAGCTATATGCATGGTCTGAGGTGCAGACGTTATGGCAAGTGTCATATAAGAGCTTAAAGTTAGGTTTTATTATAAAGGCACCATAAAATTAATTTACAGAACACAAAACATATGTGAGTGAGTCTTCTACATGCCTTAATATTTCATAAAATGGATGTTTTCAAGTGCATATAACACATCATGCTGCTTTCTCAATAATGCCGCTAAATGCTGTATACCTAATGATTTTACAGCGGGGCTAATGAAATCAAAGTGGAAGCATCTCACTATTGCATGAATCGAGCCTTTACTCAAATCTAACACCGATCGTAAGGTTACTAAGAAAAACAAGAATGATTGGATATCTGACTGAGAGGGGAGGGGGGGGGGGGGGGGGGGAGAAGCATGGACCAACCAGTTACATTGCTATGTACCAACCTCCACATATCATGAAAAATTACTACATAGGTTTACAATTAGATCAGCATCCATAGACATGAATGTCTGAATTTCCCCTTCAATTTGGATCTCTCGGGAACTAGGTACAGCTCTTACGTGACTATACTATTTCGCAATCTCATATTTGAGTTGCATTAAACTATGCTAATACAGTACCATGCTACATGCAAGTGACAATAGATACAAAAGAAAGAGGAAAGGGTCCGAAAGATGAAATATATATTACACCAAAGGAGCTCCACCAACACCCCTATAAGCAACATTTATGATTTGCTGACTACATGACAGGAAACCCTAATTGAGCTAGGAAAAATAACCTTAACGAAGGGGGAACCACACCATTGAACTAGGGACGCACTGTCCATCTACGGGAATGGATAAATAGCAAAGTCAGTTAGCCAGACAGTGATATTCCAATTTCTTCGCAAAATTGTCTTTTGCAGCACTTGCTTCTAATTAACGGAGCATTTGTTGCAACTGAAGCACTTGGTTCCTTTGCTCTGGAGGTAGCATGTTAATCTGTTCGGGGGTCAGACTCCTTACTTGCTGAAGAAGTGCATTCTCCATCTCTGGACTCAGCTGCACATCAACAAGATTAACTTATTTTTGGCCTGAAACAGAAAGTATAACCAACAGTCATCTCTAAAACTAAACAAGTGAACAATAGGACTGCAGATATTACTGCTGCCGGTCTAGAAGGCTGACTGCTCGGGCCCATCTGGCCAGTGAATGGTGGTGGTCCTGGGAGCTGTGTTCCTGATGTATTCTCTGGTAAGCTGGGAATCCAAGGAGATACTCGATCTGCTTGCATAGAACTTCCAACTTGATTGAACTCTGGTCTCAAATGTGAACCTCCCCTCTAGATATATGCACATAAAGACAGCACGTTAAATCCTATGATAATAGCCCACATAGATTCTAAAGTGAGTTAGAGTTAAGAATTCTCTTTCAAACAATAGAAACCAAAATGATCGTGCTTTCTGGACTTTTGCCAGAACTAACATGTAACATTGCTCTTAGAAACACCATGTTACAAAAAGATGATTTGGGAATGGATAACAAGTTATACTTTGTCAACGTTTGAACTTTATCGAAGATAATACTTAAGTATATAAAGTCTGCAATCTGTAGTTTCAAAAGGCCAAATATATTGAAAATATTTTGATGGCTAATAATAATACTGACAATTAGGGCTGTGCATGGATCAGATCGGATTTAGCACATTTCGGATTTTAGAAAATGCAATCCGAATCCGGTCCGAATTAATATCGGATCGGGTCGGATTTTCGGATTTCGGATCGGATTATTATGCCTCAAAGTTGCAAACTCATATGTATATTTTCTTTGTAAAAGAGGCAATACAGTAAGAAAAATTCATGTTTCTGCCATTATGAGAGTACTGTGGTGCCAATATAGCTAAATCCATCAATTGTAAAGGTAATAACTTGGAGGAAAATTTAAAGGAAGTACTACTAATTATCTAAAATTAAAGTTTAGTATTTATACATGCCCTAATAATTTCGGATTCCGGATCGGATCAGATCGTATTAAAATTATACCAATCCGAAATCCGAAATTGAACGGATCGGTTCGGATTTCGGATATCCGATCCAAATGAACATCCCTACTGACAATAGGAAAAATAGAATTGTTAGTTTGGGCTAGAGGGACCAAGGGAATTGGAATGATTTGGGATGTAAAAGAAAGTCGGTAACCCAGATTTTTTTAAAAGAATGCTAACAATGGAGGAGCATAGCATACCTATATGACTATATCCCTATTAGCCATTTTTATCCAAGACTAAAAAACCCTCTATACATATCCTACTTCACAATCCCACACACCTAATGATCATGACATAGACGTATTTAACACGGATAAGTATAAAATCTTAAACACAGTAAAATTGGCACAGAACTCATGCATTGGTAAAGAGGTAACTATTAAGTGGCACTTAAAACTTAACAATGGTCCGCCCTTATTAGAATTGACCAAGTTTAGCAGAGCAAGAAATAGAATGATCAGGCTTACATGGCCAGAAAGACCAACCAGCACTAGCAATGGCATAAAGTTTCAGTCACGTAGATTTAAAAAACTAGGACACCTGATATAGCGACTGGGGTGGCAGCTGACTTGGAACTGGTGGTTGTCCCGGTAGAAAAGAAGGTCCCATGCTTGCTGGAGGCCTCGGCGCAGGCTGAATGATAAAAGGAAAATTCACATCTTATGCATGGAATAGGAAAAACTTAAATTCTCTAAAGGCATAATGCTTACATGATAAGTAGGCTGAGAATGATGGTGGTGCTGAGGTGCTCCAGATTGCGGAAAACCACTATTGGGCCCCATGTGAGGGTGAAGTTGATGAGGGAAGGGTTGCATTGGTGGTATCGCTTGTGGTGGTAGCTGCGGTTGCATAATGAGGTGTTGGTTGCCACTAGTTTGCATTGGTTGTTCCAACTGGGAGGA